TTCCTAGGAGCTGCTCTGTCTTAATCTTGGCTTCCGAATGATACCCTTGTTGGGAGTGACCAAATGCGGAGATTTACTGAGGGACTGGATAAGGGCAGTAATAAATCAGGCCTTGCATCCAAAGGTGATAAGGCGGTAACAAACTGGACCTTGCATGTAATTAACCGGGACCCTGAATCTGGGATGGGACTAGCTGAAGGTGATAACAAACGGGGCCTCACATCCAAGTTTGATAACTAACTGGGCCTTACATCAAAGGACACAGCGATGTGTCACCCCTTTGGAATGTGAACCTAGGATCTATATGAGACCCTTCCTCCCTATAGGGTTGGCAGTAGCTGCGGACCCCACCCTGCGGGCTCCGTTTCAGCTGCTGTCCGGGAGCAATGAACTCTGTTTGCTCAGCCTTTCTGCCTCCTGCCTTCCTTTCTTGCGACGGTCACAGAAGTTGGGACAAAACAACCCTGTCCACTCATTTTTTAGGCTTCTTGTCAGACTGCACAGAGAGTCCCCTTTCTGTGCCTGGACTCACTCCTGACTCAGTCCTGGGTGCCACATCTGGAAGTCCGGGTGGTTCCTGGGTACATTTGAGTAGCTGCTGTGCTTGGGCTGCACTGAGCACCTGCTGCCCCCAAGTGGCCATTGGCTGTACTGCACCACGAGAGTGGCCTCTGCAACTTCCTGATTCCTGGTCAGTAGCCCTGCCTCGCTGGCATCCCTTCCCTTGGGGAAGGAACTGCTTTTGTTACGCTATCAAGGCAGTAAAATAAAGGACACAAATTTCTTCCACTGGGAATATGTGGGGTGGTGAAGGCAAAGGATGAAGGAGAGGGAAGAGGAAAGAGCTAAGCAGGACTGGATTAAGGAAGGAAAATGAGGTGCCCAGAAACTCGCTCTAAGGAGGGGCTTGCTCTAGGGTTCATGCAAGTGCAGAAATGGGTTCCGTGTCTGGCTTGGCTGGAAGGAAGCAGCAGCAAAACCAGGACTTCAGGGTCACACGTGACAAGGAGTCACACACCCCAGGTGAAGGGCTGTGTGTGTGGGACATCCCACTATCCCATGGGGCAGCTTTAATAAGTGTTTTATTCTGCAGTAACCTTAGATTTACAGGTTACAAAGCAGGTACAGAGAGTTCCTAGCTTCCCTCCACTCAGCTTCCCCCCGAATGTTAACATCTTATATCAGCAAGGTACAGTACAGAGCTTTGGGGGGCTTCACCAGTTTGCACCCAGCTCCAGATTCGGTCCAGGCTCCTGCGCGCATTGCAAGTCAGTCACAGTTAAGGCTGACAGGCGGGAGGCTGCAGTCAGTTATAGTGGCTTTGGATCAAGAGAAAAGAAAAGAAAGGACCTTTTCTTGGGTGCAGTGAGGGTGTGTTTTGTTCTGTGTGCAGTGAGGGTACTTTTGTATAGAAGAGCTGGCAGCCCGTGTCCCAAAGTGCTCGCCTACTTTTCCTTTCGGCTAATTGGAATCCCTTCCAGATGTTTCTTTTCCCATAAACTCCACCCGAGAGGCCGGCCATCATCAGTGTGTCTGTTTTATTCTGTTTGAGAATTTTTTTTTTAAAAGAAAAATCCATCTTTGATCACAAATGGAGCAGGTACTACTCTGTATCAGGGAATCACTTACCTCGTCACTCAAGTCACATGTGTACACTGGGGTTCAGTCCCGTGACTGAACCCCAGAGATGCTCAGGGTGTACAACTGTGACTGGCAGAGAGGGATAGGATTCGAACCCAGGCAGCCTGAGTCTTGGGACTGGGCCAGGGATGGGGCACCTCTGTCCTGGCGACACTGTCATAGTATCTAAATGAATCAGGTCATCTGCCGCTGGTGAGCTTCATGTCACCGACAGCTTTGGGCATCTCGGGTGCTCTGGCTGGCTTCCTGGGAGAGAGCCCTCAGGTGTGGGTGGAGACTCGGGCTGTGCCCTGCTTACAGGTGAGGTCCCTAAGGAGCCATGTAGGGCCTCTCCGTCCACAGGGCTGATGTGAGTGCGGCTGCCTAAGAATGCTGTGAGCTTTTGGCCCCCAAGAGGAGGGCGATAGTGAGGGCCCCGCTGGCCTCCCGGCGCAGGAGCCTCCTGACCTGACTTCCTGGGAAACTCCTTGTTGTAGCTCCCGGGGACCATGCTGAGGCGTTTCCCCTTCATTTCCATCCCATAGAGCTTCCGGTACATGACGGCGTCCCCCTCCTTCTTGGTCATTTTCCCTAAAGCCTTGGAGGGGAGCAGGAGAGAAGTTACTCCCTGGGGAACAGGGTCTGACGCGCCCTCTCTGCCCCCAAATGAGTGATTTCAAGGGTCTGCTCGAAGGCAGGCCATAGGACCAAGGGGAGACCTGCTTTGGGAAAGGTGGGGGTGCCTGCTCACCGCTCGTCACTGTGGTCCCCCCAAATCAGAGGTCAGGAGTGGAGGAAGCCACAGTCCTAGAGAGTCTAGGTGTTATCTTCCAGATGGCGTGCCCGAGGGCCTGGGAGGGAGTGAGGCATGGCCCCTGGAGCGTGTGACTGCCATGGGGCCAGCCTCCTCACGGGGCTGGGGACACTGTGGTGTGGGGTCTGGAGGATGAGGGGGTGGGCGACACCTTTGGGTGCTTTTGTGGAGAGCCAGAGCTCTTGAGAGCTGGCAACTATAGCCAGCAGTCACGACAGCCTGACCTATGGGAGCCAGCCGGCACCTGGACGTGGAGTGGTCAGTAGGGGTCATGGGCAGCAGAGGCCCTGTCACCTGTTTGGGGAATGACATCTTGCGGTTCGGGCCCTGATGCTTTAAGCCTTTGGCTTTCGTGTCTTCCTTCCCTTTGACTTTAGAGAGCATCACATCCTTAAATTTGGGCTTCTGGAAGGAGAGAGAGGATAGCACCTGGCCACCTGGCAGGCACAGGCCAGCCATGACTCGGGGAGAGGCTCCCCGGGGAGGGGCCGCCTCTCCCCTCCACCCAACTTTAAGCCCCTACTCCGGCCCTCCCGACCCCCTTCAGCTGTCCCCAGGCACCTGTCCACACCACAGTGACCCCACGCTGGCCTCCTAGATCCCAGGTGGCTGGTTCCTTTCCACCTCATTGCTGCGTGTGGGTCCCACTCCCCAGCCTGTAGGATTCTCCTCTCACCCCCAAATGGCCTTTCGCCAAGTGTCCTTGCTACGGCCGGTGACCCAGCTGGGCTCTGCCCCCAAAGCCCTGGCTACTGTTTGCCACCCCCAACCCATTCTGCCCTTTACCACAATCCCCCCCACTTTCTCTATGGGTGCACCTTGAGGGAACTTCCTTATGCACATCCTGGCTCCCACTTCTGAGGGACTGGAAAGGAGTTTCATCAGGGACCCCGAGGGGCTGGCCGAAGGGAGGAGCCTGCAGTCACACTCAGCTGGTCTATACTCGGCAGGGGTGCAAGAAGCTGACGCCTCTGCCTCTCCTATGGGTGGGTGTTCGGGCTTGTGGGGAGATGGGGTTAAGGTTGGGTGCTAGGTCAGACTGGCTGGCCTGGAATCTGGCTCTATTCTTAGCAACTGGACAATCTAGAGCGAGTCACCACTCCTTTGAGGCTTAGAGTCCTTATCTGGAAATGAGGCTGAACCCCAGAAAAGCTCACCATCTATGGATTCTCATTCCTGTGCTTATAATGACAAGACACATGCAAGCTTGGGCTGCAACAACATGATTTATTTACAGAGGGGGAATTGGGAAGAAGAAAAATTCTTTCCAAGGCCACTAGTGGCTGGCTGCTCTGCGCCTGAACATGTCTGCAGTGTCCAGTGGTCAAACCCAAAGCTGCTCGTGCAGGGCAGGGTCCCTCCGTCAGCGCTGGGGCAGGCGGCACACCTGGCAGTGGCGGCCAGGGGCAAAGTGGCTGCGAAAGCCGGGCCAGGCTCAGGGGACTCCGCTGTGGCAGCACCACACAGCACGACGGCCGACTGCAGCCGGCTGGGCAGTCCCAGATGCTGGCCAGGGCAGCACTCAGAGGTGGGGCCAGAGGCCAGACTGGACGAGTGTTCCAGCTCATCCAAGACGCAGCACAGCCAGCAGAGCTGATGCGTGAAACGAGCAAAGGTCTTGAAGATCTGTGAGGGGCTGCCTTGAAGGTCTCAGGAGAGCGCTGGGGGCGGGTTTGGGGGTGGGGGGCTCCCTGAAGCTGAGTTCCTCTGGAAACCAGTCTCTCCCAAAGCCTCTGAAGCCTTTTCCAAACTGAGTCACGCCTCTGTGTATACCCCACTTTGGGGTACTTGTCATTCAACCAGATGGGTCCATTTTTTTTAAAGATTTATTTGTGCATACAAAACTGGGGTACAGGCCAGAGGTGCAGGGGCGGTGAGAGGATTCACCAGAGACAGAGTGGGGAGCAGAACAGGCCGACTGACGAAGTGCAATGCTGAGGGGAGCAGCGGGCGGGTCAGGAGAGGTCTCCCTGGCGGGGGATCGAACTCATGCTGCAGTGGCTTCGGAGACCCTCATAATGTGGTGTTTTAACCCGCAGTATCACCAGGGAGGGCCCCAGGAAGGGTGCATTTCAAAAACCAGTTTCTTCTAAAACTTGGTTGTTGCTAATGCAGGCTTGAACTTGACTGGTCCGCTTTCAAATCCAGCTGATGATTTAGTCCAAATCCCGGCAGCGCATCCAAGCCCCCAGGCCCGCAGCCAGCTCCGCTGTAGCTGAGTAGCTTTGTCCAGGCCTAAACTGGACCCACGCATCTCCAGAAGGGTTGAGTTTTTGTTTTCTTTTTTGTTCAACCCAAATCTGGCCACGCGGGGGTCAGCCATGAAGCCCCCCTGAAGCTGCCCAGCTGGGGGTGCTGCACCTTCAGAGAGCCAGCAGCCCAGGGCTGCTCAGGCAACTTCCCCACCTCTAATCCTTGTCACCATTCTCTGGGGAGCAACTGGGTGAGCCCCATTGCCATGTCTGTAGGCTGCATCTAAAATTGCTAGATACCAAGTGGAAAGGTGGAAAGCATACAACTGTACAAACTCACGGACAACTTAGTTGCACTTAGCTTTCTTTCAAAATCACAAGTTCTTTCAAAAATAACATTTCTAAAACTGGGGACACTGACAGCGGCAGTCTGGTCACCAAACCAACAGGACTTCTGCTGTGGCCTGCCATAATCCCAGGGGCATGGAAGGAAGTTGAGCAAGAGCCTGCTTAACACCCTCTAAAGAGGGGGTACGGGTCAACTTCGGGAATGCCCCCAAGCCTTAACTGGGATTATCTGAGCAGTTCCCCACCCCCAATTTGGGAGCAGCTGATTGAAACGGGTGTGGTGTGGTATGGCCAGTCTCAAGGGTGCTCCAGGAGACACCGAATCACCGGGGTGATAACAGAGACCATGGACTTCCAGAGTCCCCAAGGGCACAGGCCCCTGGGTGGTGCCAGCGTGACCCCGGGTTCCAGGAGCAGGGAGCAAGCCCAGCCCAGGCTGGCTGGGCCTGCCCTGAAGCAGCGCCCATCCTGGGGTGGCGTGGGGGTGCTTCCTCCAGAACCCATATGCTCCTGGGAAGGGCAACAGCGCTTGAGGGTGTGATTGTGTTTCGGTGTGAATGTGCTCTCATCCTGTTGGAAATTGTCTACAGAAAAGCCATAGCTCAGATAAAGCCATGAGGCCCTCCCTGGTGGCGCGGCGGATTGGAGTGCTGCACTGCAATGCTAAGCCAAGCCGAGGCCGGCCTCTTCACTGTGAGTTCGAGCCCTGCCCCGGAGCTGACCCACATGGCACAGCAGACCTCTCCTGACCCTCCTGCTGCTCCCCTCAGCAGTGTACTTCGTCGATCTGTCTGTTCTGCTCCCCACTCTGTCTCTGGGGAATCCTCTCACCGCCCCTGTTTCTTGCCTGTAGCCCAGGTCTATATGCACAAATAAATAAATCTTTATAAATATAAGATAAAGCCGTGAAAACATATTAGGATTGACCCTCAGTGAGCGGATATGAGACCCAACGGATTAATCGAAGAAGTGAATATGATTTCTGTGATTGAGTTCTGAGCGGTTTAACCTCTAGCCGCTCCAAAAAGTGGGGGTCAGCTATGTACCAATCTGTGCCCCTTGGTGTGAGACACGCGTGTCAGATGAGTGTTAGCAAGGACGTAGCACACGGCGTCTTCCTGGCCATAAATAACAGGGCAGGGAGGAGACTGGCCTGCGCGGGAGTGGCCAGGCCGGCCGGGGCCGCCGGGCGGGGAGGCGACGAAGTGCGGGCAGGAGAGCCCCCGGGGCTATGAGGGTGCTGATCCCAGGCACAGCGCCCCACGCATGGCCTCAGCTTGGGTCGCGTGACCGAGCGCGTGAGCTGGGAACTGAGTCTGAGTCCTGGCCAGCCCTAACTAACTCTGGGCTCCTCCTCTTCACTCGGCTGCCCTCCCCTCTGCTGGCAGGCACGTCGCCACCCTGGCCCTTCTGGCACCTGCTCTCATGGCATTTAGCTTGGGCCCTGATGTGGCATCTCCGGTCCCCCCTTGTTCTCGGATACTGTCTGGGTACCCAGAGCTCCTGCTTGTCAGCTCGGTGTCGGTCAGGCTGGGGCCTCTCCCCAGGGCAAAGGTCCTGGTACTGGGGAACCAGTATCTGCTGAAAACGGGGGCGCCTATTAAAATAGAGATAACACCTTGGACCCTCCGAATAATGGAGCCCCCAGGCAACAGCCCCTGTGAGCTCCACCCTCACTGCACCCCCATAACTGCATCCCCCCTCGTGTGTCCACTCGCTCGGCGCTTGTCCAGCTTTGCACGTCACGCTAATAAATCGAGATGGCCTCTGGATCGGGGGCACACTATTTCCAGGGTAGCCCCTCTCATTGCTCCATCCGACCTTTGGGTGGTCTTTCCCTTTGCTCTGGACACTCTGCCCATGAGGCGGCACCTGCTGGAAACATTAAAAGTAGCGTTGCCAGCCTTTCACCTCCCTCTCTCTGGGATCAGAGAAGACCACTTCCCAAGGACATGGCTTGGTTTTTCCAGATGACGGGTGCTGGGTTGGGGACGATCTCTAGGGAAACTGAGGCAAAACTGGCTGCCGGAGTTCTGAAGGGAGAGGAAACGTGGTGCTGGAAAGCATGCGCCCCTGCGCCCGCAAATTCATATGTTGAAACCCGATTCCCCGGATGACAGTCGGGACACAGGTCCCCTCGGATAGCACAGCTGCTGGCTTCCTGGGCTTGGACTCCCAGGCCTCCAGAATTCTGAGAAATGCTCGTTTTTTTTAAGCCATTCCATGGCGTTCTATGACAGCAGCCCATACCAACTGGACAGGTGGGTCAGAAGTGGCCCTGGTTGGCTGGCTTCCGAGGGGGCAGCGGCAGTGGAGACTGAGTGCCATTTGACCCTGTGCCATTGTGGGGAGGAAGAAGAGGGGGACAGTGGAGGGACGCCCTATTGCCAACGTCCGGACCGCAGAAGCAGCTGCCCTGGCTCAGAAGCTCTTGCTTTGACTAGACAGGATTTGTCCTGCTCTAGGCCCACCACCTCGATTTCTAAGAATGTTTCCCTCAGGGAACGAGGGCTTCTAACTTCTTCCTCTGCCACTTGGAGCTATCTCAGCCTCAGTTTTACAAAGTGGAGCGATTTCTGCTGTGTCTGTATCTTTGCTTTTGAAATGAAATCGATAAGGGTAGTTCTCTACCCCCAGCCTCCACCCGGTGGGGGGGGGCGGCAGGACCCCGAGTGTGTTTAGTGCTATTTAGCAAACACAGATGACCTGATACGCTACTAATTCTCTCCCTGCTCCGCCCCCCCGTCTTCCAGGACCCCACGCTTCAAAACCCTCCTTCATTTGCTTCTCGAGAGTCGTTCGATCTCTCACTAGAGCACGTCTCCAAGTCTTCCTTGAGAGTTTTCTTGGGCAGTACACACCTGGATAGTTAGCTTCTTCTTGCCCTGCCTCCGCTCCAGCCACTCCAACACCCGGGTGAGGTCTGAAAGGCGCCTCTCCTCCGCCGTCTTCCATGTCGACTTCCTCTCTGTCGGCTTCCTGTCCTCTGGCTTCTTCGGTATCACCAAGTCTGGGGACCGTGGCGGGGACTGAGTCATACTTAGTCTCTGATTGTTGACGGCTGACTGACAGTAGGATGCGCCCCGTGGGTGGGGACGTGCAGGGCAGAGTTAGCCCTGTATGCTGGGATCCTGGCCCAGAGGCTGGCAGGCCTGCTGGGTGATTGTGAGGTCACTGCCAGGCAGGCCTGCCTGGGTCAGAGTCAGCTGGGACACTGGCACCCCCTGGGGCCAACACCCCTCCTCAGGCACCCCTGTTCCCCTGGGTGCTATTCCAGCCTCTGCTCCCGTGAACTCTCACTTCTCTCCCTTTTCCAAAATCCTCCAGCAGTTCCCTAGAGCCTATAAGAAAGACATTTAAATTCCTTAGTTGGGTCTCCACGCTTTTCACACTGTACTCTTAATAGAATGAAGACTTTTATAGGTTCAATTTCTTTTAATTAATTGAACAGGTAATTATCACATACCTACTGTGTGCCAGGCATAGTGCCAGGGACAGAGTACAGGATAAAGGCATAGTTACACTTGTGGGTCTGCTAAATCCTAGGTGGCTTATCCCGCCTCCACTCTAAGAGACCAATTCTATCAGGCACCTTCACATCAATTAAGAGCAGAAGCTAGATCACCCTGGGAAGGGTCTGCATCACGAGGCATGACTGGGAATGCCCGGGGGAACGCTGACTGATGTATAACGAAGGGCCCCAGAAGCTGGTCAGTGGCATGCCTTATTGATAAGATTGAAATCCTGACTGGAGAGTCAGGGCTGTCCCACACACCAAACCTCAGTAGATGCACAGTTCCACCTTTCCCCCAGCTGCTTCTAATTCTCCCTTTCTTTTTCACTTCCTCACATGATGAAAGCTGTATGATTAGTCTACCAATAAAAAGGCCCGTATTTGCTCTTCGGCAGCAACCTGCATTATGTAGCATGATCCATGACTCCCATTTCTTTGGTCAGTGTGATGTTGCCCGATGCAAAAACACTTTCTAAAACTTGTGAGTTAGAGGCAAAGACAGGAGAGCCGTCAAATAATTGTTCTGTGAGCCCATAATGACAAATGAACACAAGCACTCTGAGGGAAGCAGTGTCATTCCATTAGTGAGACACAATAGACAAACTAGAATTGGATGTGGGCATGAGCGAGTCGTACTGAAGCGTGCAGCTCAAGGGTAATTAAGCTTCAGCAGGACTCTAGACCATAGGGACAAGCATGTGCAAAGGCCCTGTGGTGTAGTGGAAGCATGTAGCCTGCGTGAGGAACAACATGAGTCTACAGTGGTGAGAATACCAAGTAGAGAGAAATAATGCTAAGAAAAATAAAAGATTCTGGACAGGTGGGCAGAAGCCAGACCAGAGAGGACCTTGGAGGTCACAGCTTCGGTCAGACCTGAAAGGGAAGGGGAATGAAGTGATGGGAAAGTGAAAGGGGTCCAGAAGCCAGGGAGTGACAACATCAGGCTTATTTATATTTTTTGGCAGGAAATTATGCATCCATGAGGAGCCAGAATCACAAAGAAAGACAATGGCGTAACCAATATTCCAGAATTTCTCCTCTGGTTCCTGTTACTCTGCTAGTCACTAGCACCCTCCAATGGTAAATCTAAACTTTGAATTTCATAGATTTGTTGATGAAATTTTATGTCAAGATAACCATACACACAGAGTCTATTACATAGTTTCTTTCATTTTGTCAACAATGAAATTGTTGAATTCATGAATGAATTCATGTAGTCTGTGTATGTGGAGATGTCTTTATTTTATCTTCATATTTGAAGAAAAAAATTGCCAGATAATAGAATTCTTGGTAAGTAGCTCTTTAGCACTCTGTCCATGCCCTTTCACTACCTTCTGCATACTTCCACCCCCACTATTTTGTAGGTAAAGTCAGTTGTTCATCTCTTTGTTTCTTTCCTACACAAGTCATTTTTCTCTTCGTTTTTGACTTTCAACTGATATGATATGTCTGGGAGTGGATGTCTTTGTATTTATCCTACTTGAGTTTTGTTGAACTTTATATTTAATATTTTTCATTAGATTCTGGAAGATCTTGGCTATTGTTTTTTCCAATACACACATACACACACACATATAAACCACACATATACATAACATGGATATATTAATTTAATAATTACTTTGATCTATGCTTCACTTTTTTCAAAGATTTATTTATTTTATGGATACAAAAATGAGGTACAAGCCAGAGGTGCAGGGGGCGGTGAGATGACTCACCAGAGACAGAGTGGGGAGCAGAACAGGCAGATCTACTGAAATACACTGCTGAGGGGAGCAGGGAGGGTGAGACAGGAGAGGTCTGCTGTGCTGGGGATCAACATTGAACCAAGGGAGAGATTCTAAAGACAAAGAAATCACTGAAAAGGGGCATTTTCAGCTTGAAAAACACAATTGAAATGAAAAATGATACCAGAAAAAATGTATATGGAAGAGGAAAGAATCCATTAATTTTAAGGCAGATTAATAGCAATTATCCAATCTGAAGAACAAAGGAATAAAATAATTGAATAAAAAAAGGAATAAAATAAGCCCTGAAGCAGCTGCGGCTATGGCAGAGCTGTGCCTTAATGTGCTGTGCCACCGGGGGGGGGGGTCCCATAACATATATATACTATATATATTATAATATAATATATATATATATATATATATTTCGCCCTTTGACCTTTTATGTTTCTGGGACCCCCAGCATATATCTGTTGGCATGCTTCTTGTCACCCCATTGGTCTCTAGGGTATTTTAAATCTTTCTTCAATTATTTTATTCCTTTGTTCTTCAGATTGGATAATTGCTATTAATCTGCCTTAAAATTAATGGATTCTTTCCTCTTCCATATACATTTTTTCTAGTATCATTTTTCATTTCAATTGTGTTTTTCAAGCTGAAAATCCCCCTCTTCAGTGATTTCTTTGTCTTTGTCTCCCTTGGTTCATTGTTGTCATACTCTCATTTGAAATTTTAGATATGATTTACTTTTGAACATATTATAACCCTATTTGGAGATATTGTTGACTAAATCTAATAGCTGGGAATGCTCAGAGTCATTTTCTATTGAAAACACACCTGTGTTTTCTGGAATATCTGTCACAACTTCTTGTTTCTTTGCTTATTTTGCAATTTTTATTTGGAAATTGGAACTTTTGGATATTCTTGTCCCCCCAAAGTTTATTGTTGCTATTTTCCATTTGTTTCTTTTTAAATAATTTATCTGGGCTCTGTGTGTCAGATCTCTGTTCAGGAATCTGAGAATAATATTTCCTCAAGGCTTGAAGTTACCAAAGGTTGTGATTAAGTTTTTGCATTCTGGTTTTTATATTAAAGTCTAGCTTCCAAAGCATTGACAGAAGATGCACTCAAATCCCTCAAGTCAGTAAGTCATGTGTCCTCTGCTGTTGAATCCCAGGAGAGAAGAGTCTTCTCTGTTATATGTCATAGTACAAATCATCCCCAAATTTACTCTCTCACAGCTTCTGTGGGTCAGGATTCTGAAAGAGCCTCATCACACTCTGACTTAGCTCACACTGGGTGCATCCAGCTTGTCCTCATCTGAAGGCTTGACTGGGGAAGGAGCTGCCCCCAAGCCCTCACGGGGTTTTTGACAGGACTGGACCCCGTCACGACCTTGAACTGAGGGCGTCACTTCTATGCTAGCTGGCAAAGGCCACTCTCAGTTCCTTGTGACATGTGCAATTCCACGGGACAACTCACAACATGGAAACTTGCCTCATCAGAACAAGGGAAGCACCAGAGAGAGCCGGGCAGAAGTCTGTCTTTCACAAGCAAACCTTGGAAGCGACATCCATTACTTTGGCATGTTCTGTTGCCTCCAGGTAAGTCATTGTGTCTAGTCTACATGCATCACAGGGGTGACACAGGCATGAACCCCAGAAGGAAACTGGTGCGGTTTGGCTAGTTTAGTTTAGCCTGTGCAAATTCAAAGGCCAGGCTCTTTTCATGTGCTCCCTATTGTTTCCTTTCTTCCAGCCTCTGTCTCATTTCCTTGGCACACTTTGTCAGTCTCAGATAGACCCTGTCTAGTTTCCACGGTCCATGGATTCCCCAGCCACAACTGCAGCCTCACCTGAGGGGGACTGCTGGCCTTCACACGTTTCTGATGAGTTTTCAGTGAAACAAGATTGCCAAAAGTGGGTGCTATTCACTGCTCCAGATCCAATAAACTTTTTTCTAAAAATATTTATTTTATTTATGCATCAAGAAATAGGGTACAGTTTAGAGGTACAGGGAAATGAGAGGATTCACCAGAGACAGAGTGGGGAACAGAACAGGCAGACTGATGAAGTACACTGCTGAGGGGAGCAGCGGGCGGGTCGAAGAGGTCTGCCGCGCTATGTGGGTCAGCTCCTAGCTGGGGATCGAACTCATGCTGCAGAAGCTGCTCCACCATGGTGGAGAAATGCTGGCTGGACAGAATCTGTATGACCTACTCAGCCACACGTTATGTACCACCCCCCTCTGCCACACTGCGAGCCCTCCCACCCAAGCCCCTCAGGCAGGAGGGATAGTGGCGAGTGGCAGGAGATGAAACGAGTCAGCCAGGGAGGTTCCTGCGCAGGCCCACTAAGCCGGAAACAAGGGCCGAAGGACTGGACCCCCCAGCTCTCCTGACCCCCGTCCAAGAGCACAATGCAGGTTGCAGGAGAAAGTCTGAGAAGCAAGGCCCAGGGGTGCTGTGGGGGCTGAGAAAGGCCGGAACTCACCTCCGAGCACCCGACACAGCCCGGAGGCACGGTGGGGAGAGACCGTGGGCTTTCTACTCAGTGCCCCTGGGTTCCCCTGGAGATGGGCTAATTGTCTTTATTTTCCCACTTTGCCCTTTTCTTTAGCATTTTAATACCAATAGCACTGTAATACAGCCAGACATTTCTCTCTCTCATACACACACACGCACACACATGCACACGCGCACACGCACGCACACGCACACACGCACACGCACGCACACACACACACGCACACACACGCACGAGAACTGCCTCCCTGCAGCGGGTCCAAGCTCCCAAGA